TTACGATGTTCGATAAATTAAAATATTAATGTAAGATATATTTAGTTCAAAATATATTGGAATAACATATTACTACATATTACATACTCCGCATACGGTAACATTCAACATATATAAAATTTTTCAATAAATACATATATAAAAGTAACTAAATACAAAGAGAAACAATATAAACGACATGCTAATTTCTTCAAAAGATAAATTCAGTTTTTTTATGGCTAAAATTTATAGTGTGCTAATTTTATGGTTTGTAGGAATATTTAGTCAATTAAAAAGTACTATAACACTGAAAACCAAACTGTGTTTATATTTGTTTATAACTATTAAATTTTATATTTTTATGAAAATATTTTAAATCAAGAACATTTTGATATAATTTTCATATATTCAAAATAATTTCGTATTAAAAAATATCATTGATCCAAATTGATTGTTATTGACAAATAAAAAATCAAATTGACAAACCTTTTGGGACTGAGGGAGAAATGAACTTTAATTCTAGGTTTCTAACATCTTTACTTTTAGTGATTTATGCAAGTTCGTTCTGAATATATGAACCATTTTGGCATAATATTTGATTAAGACAGAGGATATACCATATATATACCTGTTTACATGCTTCATCTGATAAAGTTTTTCATACTACGTATTTCATACAAATTAAAGTGTGTATTTATTTATGAGACTCCACGTTAGAACTACGTGGTTTTTTAAAATTCCGTGATTATATCGTAAAAGCTACCGTATGCAACATTAAACAAATATTTTAAGTATATTGACATAAGATTATGTAGTTAATAAAAATTAAGCACCAGCCCAGCAGATATGATCTCATGATTTCATGAATAAGTACTTACTTGACCCATACATGTGATTGATCTGAATGTGATTTTAAATTTGAATAAATTAAATGTAGTACATCATAGACTATACGTCTATACCCATATCATTATTTACACAAAAGTATATATATGAATCAATTACTCGTACCCATAATTTAGCATGTGGCTTAAACTTAAAGAGTAAATAAATTACGTACGTTTAATTTATAAAAATACCTGAAGTATTTTGAGTAAGCTTGGATCCAATTACTTCTTATATAAATAAAATTCAGTAAACACAACACCGATGCAAAAATGCACTCTGATCCTTAGGCAGTTGATCTCAGCCGCAGGGTAAATGCATATGAATTAGGATAGTGGGTTTACTTCAACCGTTCAACTTGATCTAATTCATATGCACTCTCAGCACTCGACCGCCATGATACTACCTACTTGTGTTGTCATATATATATATATATATAATATAATATTCAATCTAAAGTGCCGGCCAGGTGGTTACTTAATGTGTAGCTGGTTGGTTTGGATTGGTCGATCAGGAAACCACCGCTAGCTATTCGGCAATTAGCATAGGAGTGGCCGAGTGGAAACTGTCTATACTTGCACCACGTATTTAGTAACTGGTCCGTCAATTATTTTACAGATAAAACACACGTGTTATACATCTATGGTCAGGATTGTTCAGCATGTTGCACGATTGTGCTTTTATATATATATAGATTTATCAGACTCAGCCTATTTTAGCCAGATGCCTACCAAACGGGTCTTTAATATTTAAAACTCCATGTGCGGGTTTTCATAGTTCAATTTGCGTATGATGTAAGAGTTGAGTGTCGGTTTAGGTGCAACTTGTGGAACCTCTTCCAATTCCCGAATCTTGTAATTTCTGTGCTTGAATCTTCGGTGGAGTTCGTGGAGAAAAGGAAATGACGGGCTATATTGGGTACATCCTTTTGTTGTATGGTGATGTACATAGATACAAGTATTTTAATTATATAGTTTTGAAGAAATATTTAAATTGATTTATTGAGTTTGAACAAAAAAAATCACTTTCTTTCAAACTATGTTCCGTTCTCCTAAAACAACATATTCCCTGTTATTTTGTCCATGTTTTCTTTCCCTAACATTTTTAGGTTCCAAATGGATTCATGTGGTTGATAACACTTAAATTGATAGAATAGGCTACTTTGTGTTAATTGAAACTAGTATTGTACCCGTGCGACGCACGAGAACAACTATTTTGCATATTAAAAAGCCAATCTCTTAACCTATTACATATATCATAAGTATACATATTATAGACATAATACTAATCTTGTTAAGGAAACCAAATAAGTTACTTTCCTAGGTAGGTTGGGGACTTGGGGTTATGACAATTTGAGATTATAAAATTGGAGGGGGTAGTGGCCGTTTGAGACATTTTTATATAAGTTTATAAAAAAAAAATAGGGAATGTTTGCAAAAAATTAAAAAGTATTTTTCGGCTTTTGACTTAAAAAAGCTGAAATTAGGGTTTTCAAGTGACAGCTTCTGCTTAAATTAAACACTTAAACGCTAAAAGCTGGATGCAGGTTGAGAGGTGACCAAGCATTCCAACCCAACTGATTGTGAGATTATTGTGCCTAGTGGGGGTTCTCGAGTTCGAAACCTGCTAGGCACATAAGGGTTGAGAATTCAATGGAGCGAGTTTCAGCCGTGATTACTCCAGCCCCTCCCTCTGACCCCCTGGAGTAAAAAAAGCATGTTAAGAGGTGCTTTAAACTGATTTTCATTTTTTCTATTACACACGCATTTATTTTATCAAACACTACCAACTTTTACTTTTCAGAAACATTTTTTTTCAAACATTATCAATTTTTACTATTAAACACTTTTTCTAAAATCACTTTAGAGAATCACTTTTTTAAAGTACAATCACTTCAATATATGCATTGAAGACACAAAATACTAATGAACACAACTACTGATACAAATCGTAAATGAATCAAAATTGATATGAACCAAAAGAAAAACCAAACCACGAAGCACCAATTGTTTTTAAATAACAATTGAAATTTGAAATTTTCACTTATCTAACAATTGAATTGAAAGAGTTATTTTGTTTGCGAATTTTTTCATGAAATTTTGAAATTTTGTTTGCTAATTTTTTCACAATTCAATTTTAAAATGAACACCACAAAAAAAGCAATATTTGTACACCATCAAGCATTTAAGCCAAATGTTACTCTAAACACATAATACGTAATAATTAATAGTCCATTAAATGACCAAACAAAAATAAGCATTAGGATTTGCCAGTTTGCCACAACATGTAAGGAGCTCATTTATAATGTTTATTCACTCGCCCTTAAACATCTGGGTATTGTAAGGATGTTAGGGAGTATCTTACTTAGGGAGCTCTTTATTTTTATCTTTTTATTCATTCTTCGTTAGTTTTTAAATTTATATCCACATCATAGTGTATACAATGTTAAATTACTACCCATATTATATGTATAAGGTAATTCATTATTTGTACGTATTAATTATATCTTGTAGCTAGAACTTGACTATCACTGTTGACACCTGGATTTCTAAACTAAACACCACATGATTTAGAGTACGTTGCACATAATAGATACGTAGTACTTCGTATATAATACTAATCACATTTTTAATATTATGAGGGGTAGTTTAGTTACTTTGGTAAGAAGCAATTTCTAATAACAATTAAATAAGGATTTTTTAAATTTAGGTATTTTTGTAATTAAAAAAAATGTGATGTTCAAAAATACTGTTTTCAAACATGCATTTCAAATTAAAATAAAGAATCTCAAAGATAAAAACTGAAATCATGGCCTGCGGGGTAGTATTTCTATTTTTTTTCCTTTTCTATTATACAAAAAAAATTCACTGCGGAGACTTATAAAATCGGTTTTCTGTTGAAAAACAACTCATTTTTACTACTCCGTAATATTCATTTTCATATATCCTCTAAAATTATTAACCAATTTTCAAAATTAGAAGTAATCATTATTTTCACAAGTCAAAAATAATATTCCAAATTCCGATGTGTTGTACAAAAAGTTAGATAAGCCTTTTATGGGCAGATCAATAAGGCCCAATCCACAATTTATAGTCGTGTTACCCATTTTATTCAAATGGTTTGCATCTCTGGCCAAATTATTCGTAACCATTGTAAATTTCGGATAACAATTCAAATGATTAGCCAGAGATTAATACGCCTATTTGACTATTTCAATCTCCATTTTCTTTACCTCACGACTCCATTGTCAAAGATAATTTTCTCTTCTTTTATTTTCTTGAATTTCATTTTCGAGAATCCCATATGAATCCCATATGAGTCACTTCGGGTGGGATCAAAGATTATGTCCTTGCTGTTGTAAATGTTATCCCCCCGCTTATAATCTATCTCTAATGGTAGACTATCAATCAATTCACCGGGATGAAATTTACAATACATATGTCAATTCAGGGGTGACTTTTACAATCTAGGGATGGACCGGTTCCGGGCCGGGCCCAGTTCGGGCCTTGAACCGGCTGGGCCTCGGTTCAAGGTAGGGGAGGCCCGGAACCGGCCCGGGTGACCCTGGGTCCGGTTCGGGCCCGGTTTGGGCCTATATTTTTTTTTTGGGTTTTCCTAATCAACCCCCTACCCTCCCCCTCAACCCCAAACCACTTCAAATGGCCCAAAATACCCAATCCAACCCAAAAACTTAAAAAAAAATTCAAAAAAAAAAATTAAATACGGCCCGAACTGGCCGGGCCGGTTCACCAAAATGAAGGCCCGAGCCCGGAACCGGTAGCCACCGGGCCGGGTCGACCCGAACCGCCCATGGGCCGGGCCGCCGGGCCGGGCCTGTTCAAACAGTGACCGGGCCGTGCCAGTTCCGGTTCGGGCCGCCCGACCCGAGTCCACCTCTATTACAATCTCAGAAACACGGGTCTGACATTTCAATATGATGACTAACTGAGGGATCAAAAGTGCAATTTTCCTTATAATAACAATAATTAAATATTTAAAAAAATTAAATAAAGATTAATACAGTGATGTTGATGCAACTACGCATTACCACTAGTTCAAAGTGATAGCCAACAGCTCTCAAATGAATCCCCATAGATCTGAATCAGTAACAGATCTAATGATAATTTTATCAAGGCATAATAGGACAATGTCTATGATGATAACTCTGTTTTTAGTACTCCCCTTATCCCACTTCATGTCTTTTTTACAGCTCATATGGTCAATGCAACTCCTTATTCACTTATTTTTACGGTCGCATGAATATGTATTATCAATATTATGAAGCTCTTCAAAGCAACCATTGAGCAGAGAATCAACTCCATGCACTGCAAATCTGGTCATCCCTGACTCGAAGTTTATGTTGGATATATTTACTATCCTTTTCCTCTCCGTAACCATAGCACCATCATTTTTTACTAACATGAATAGGATCAACAAGATCATTAGAATGCATGCCAGATGGAAGATAATTAAATTCGTCAAATATATCATCCATCATGAACTGCCTACCTTCGGTTATCCTTACGTTCTTCATAATTGGGCGATCATTTTGCATATTATGTGGAACATCAATAAAAATTATCCTTTCATCATCATCATCATCATCATCATCTCCTTTGCTACTAGGTGAAAAACAAATCCCATATTCATTGTTCATCATATCTACCGCAGGACGTATATCACTATTCCTCACATTATCTCTATCTCAAAAGTTCCTTCTATATGCTATCACTGGAGTAGACTTGAAGTCATCCTCATTGAGAAGACCACTATTGTTACTCAGTGCAGGGTTCTCCTCATCAACAACATTACCACATTTTCACCAACTCGTTTTCTGTTTACTCTGGTCAACTGTCTCGGAGGTAGCTTAGTTCTTAACTTCCTTGTGCTGAATAGCAAGAGGAGACTTCGAACCTGCATGAGTAGTGACAGTTATATTTTTAAAAACTAGGAAAAAACATCTAAATCACAGCCATATTAAGTTCATGTAAGCTATACCAGACCTGATCTCGAGATAGCCCGAAGATAAACTTCTTTTGCGAATAGTATTTAGCAATAATTGCTTCTCGCAATTTAGGTTCAGAAAGTGGAATGCACTTCCAAATTGGGGTGAAAGAAACCTGGATAGCAGAACACAACATACAGACACACACACTACACATATGAAAAGGCTAAATTTCCTGCTTGTTATGAGTTTTGTGTGACTGATGAATAATTATTTATATATAATTACTTATATTTATCCTACAAGTATTGTTAATTATTAATTGACAAAAAGGCTAAATTTCCTGCATAACTGAAGTTGCTGTCAGAGAATAAATGGAAGTGCTACAAAACAATGCTTGGTGAATGAAACCATTCTAATTTATCTTTCTTTAACACGGATTACATCAATAATATTTGAAATTACAGAGTAATGACACTCAACAATAAAAACACATGTGAAATGCACATCGAAATAATTATATAAACGAATACTGAAATAAAAATCGGGGTATTTCACAAATCACAACAGTATCTAATTTTCAGAATAATACGAAAAAGGATGTACATAGAATCAGCAATTTGAAAAGAAGCATTCTTATAGATAAGGCCATAAAGTCTGCACCTCTGAATCGTAGTCGTGCTTATGCGGTTCTGTAATAGATCAGTGAAATATCAAAACTGATAACAAATCACTTCACTGAAACTCTGATTTGTTTGGTTCTATAAAAAATAAAAGGAATCATTCCCGGGATATGACTAAAACAAAGTGTGTTTCTCGAAATGTGAGTAGTTATGTTTTTTTTCCCGAAATACACCACAAATCGAAAAAAAAAGACTTTTTCATTATATTAAATTGTGGAAGGACAAAAATACCTTTTTTAAAAAAAATATACATTTTACACTAATTTCGTCCAAGTAAAAATAATGCACTTCATGAAGGCGTTATTGCACTACATTTATTGCACTTTATGACGGTATTCACTGCATGACATAACACAAATGTTATGAATTTAGCGTTTTTTAGATTTCATAACTTTAGTTTTTATATCTAGTTAAATATAATGCACTTCATGCTCGAGTTATAGCACAATATTACATAAAATGCTACAAATTTATAGATATTTTTTCATGTCATTATTAATGTACTTTTTTCCATGTCATTGCATTTTTTACATTATTGCACTTCTTGCCATATCATTGCACTTTTTGTCATAACTCATTGCACTTCTTGTGATGTTCACGGCATTAAATATAAATTATTCATTGCACACTTCTTTCATCATCTTCAACCTAGGCTTCGTCTTCAACCTCGGTTCGCCATCAACCTCGGCCGCCTTGACTGAAGAATCCGAGTTGTAGGAGTGGCAGAGGGGCGCGGCTGAGCGGCAGCGAGTTGGATCGAGTGCAACCGTGCGACGAGGACGGCAACGCTCAGAGATTGGGACGATGTTGGCGAGCAGGAATCGGGATGGAGGCGGCGCCCACGGCTTGGGACGACAGCGGCGCGCAGGCGTAGGGATGGCGGTTGCATACTGGCGTGGTCGGTTGGATGTGGCGGCTATGGCGAACAAACGTGGAACTAGGGGTGGCCGGACAAACCTGTGACTAGAGATGGACTGGGGGACGGTGGCGGCAGGGGTGTGCGGTGAGTGCATGAGGCGGGTGGATGTGTGCGGCTTGTTGCTAGGGTTTTGTAGAAAAAGAGTAGGGAGGTTAGAGTTTATAGGTATAGCATTATAGCGTAAAGGGTATATTTGTCCATAAAAATATTTATTTATTTATTTATTTATTACGAATTTTAATTAAATAATATGAATTTAGATATTATTTTGGGGAAAAAATTAGTTATGTCATAGATTGTGAAAGTGAAAGAGTTTTAGTCATATGGGGGATAATTGTTTCAAAAACCTAATTACCAATTCATCAAAACTGATAAAAATCGGTTAGTACATCATTGAACATAAAATACAATACATTTCTAGCAATACATTGCGTTATCAAATGTCACAATGTTGCTACGAAGAAATACCACGAAAGTTCACCAAATTTTCTTAAAAAAGACACTATTTTCCATTACAAAATATCTTAAAAAGGAAAAAAGGAAACTCAAGGCTTCCGAAACACAACTATTTAGGAAAACGGGTTTCCCCATTCTTCAATAGAGCCCAGAAATGGAATTTGGAGTTTCAAACGAGGAAACGTGAGCCAGTTTCTGTGCTTCATCGTCACCAACTCTTTCAATATGTAAGTGATTGTTGTCCTTTAAACTCCTCCCTTCAACTCTCATGCTTTCACTTCCCCTTCACCAAACTCAATATCCCTTATCTTACTCAAAACATCACCTTTCATTCTCAATAGTTCTGAATCAGATTCCAAGGTTTTCATGCTCGAAATAGTGTCTTCCACGACATTCACCTTGTTATGGCCTATGGGTACCCAGGATGACATTTTCTGCTGATCTGGAGTTATCTGAACCTAAGATCGGTGGAGTTTTTTCAACCAAGAATGGGAATTTTTTTAAACTCATTCATCAATCCTTTGATCACAACAAACCTATCCCCTCTAGTCAATCCTTTGATCTAAACATGCGATCCCTCCTCAAGAAGTCGCTTTTCTTATCAAACCAGTCTCCCCAACCTTCCCTCAATGGCGACCCCTTCAATAAAAGTGCATCCTCAATGTTCCTTACTTCGCTCAACTTCTTCCGCATCTTCTCATCTACTGGCAAATCATCCGATGCAATGGCGAGCTTAAATTCATTAACCTCATACCCAAACCCTAATTTGAAGCTCAATTCAAAGTTCACGTAAACTTCCCATTCCTCAATTGACCGCTTGTTTAAGGCCCTCCTAATCACGCCGAGTTGATGGTCATAGAAGTAGGTCCTGGAAGAGACCTTCGACTTTTGATTAATTTCCTCTCCATCTTCCTCATCTGCCTCTAGATTTTCTTCATCGTTAACGTTGAGCTGAACTCAGGGCCGGTCCGGTCAATTTTCGGGCCGAGATATTATTTGGGCCTATGTTCAAGACAAAAACTGATCTCTAAAAATCTATCAACGAAACGGGACCCACCAAAAGTTATTTTCTTCACTTAAATTACAATTATCTGGCTCAATTTCACTATTTGCATCTTCTGCACCTATATCACTATTTTCAAGCATGTTATGGTTTTCATTCAGAAAAGAATTTAACGGCGATTCAACTTGAGAAGAATTTTCGGGATTCGATTTCTTAACAAAAACAAAATTTTCCATTGCCCCCGTCTTACTTAAGGCTGCCTTTTCTAATCTTTGTCTCTTTTTTCTCTTTTTCCCAATCAGATTCACCCATTTTATCAAACATCTTCACAATAGTAAAACGAAATAAAGGAATTCAATTCGAAATTGCACAATACCTGTTGGGCCTGCCGCGGGTCTGCGGTCAGCAATCTGCCAGCCTGCCGGTGCAATCGGACCGCGTGACGCTTTGCCTGTTCTATAAAAGGGGGACGGGCGTGCTACACTATCAGCGATTGCTTTTAGTGTAGCGGTAAGCGCAACGATCCACAATTGGTATCAGAGCCAAAGGTCACGGGTTCGACCCCCGGCAACAGCATGCTGCTCAGTTGTAGGCTGGCAGGTGCTGGGGGGGGGGGGGAGATTGTTGGGCCTGCCGCGGGTCTACGGTCAGCAATCTGCCAGCCTGCCGGTGCAATCGGACCGCGTGGCGCTTTGCCTGTTCTATAAAAGGGGGAAGGGCGTGCTACACTATCAGCGATTGCTTTTAGTGTAGCGGTAAGCACAACGATCCACAATACCAAACATATATGAATTTACCAAGACATCAAAAATGCATCATATAGAAATCATTAATCATAATTCATAAATCAAAAGAACATTTAGTGGATTTATTATTCATAGCTAATAGATTGGGAATAATTTACTGGCCATTGTCGGATTGTTTGAAGCCTTGACAGAAGAAGGTGTTCAAGTCGCCGGCCGCTGTTTAAACTCCTCACCGCTGACCGCTTTGGTTAATGGCAATTTGCAGGCTTGCGGTGCTCTCTAATGTCTACTCTTGTGCAAGACGACCAATACCTTATTAAACCTTAGTCCTTTAGTTCATTAGATAATTGAGCTTAATTGGAACTTGGAAACCACCATCCAGGAAATTAATTAGGTTAGTGGGATAGGGTGATTTATGAATCGGGAGTGATGGATAATCTACCCGGGGGGTATCTTATCCGAGGGGTTATTGCGGGAATAACTAGAGAGAAGTCAGAGCAGAATAGGAGGAGAGAGAGTCGATTTATTAAATGAACTCAGCGTGTGAAAGTTGGATGTGGATCGTTTACAAGGAGAAATGGGCTGCGATTTATAGCAGCAATAAATGTGGTGAGGGTACACGTGTCAGTGATCCAACGGCCTAGGGGTCACATCACTCGGGTGGCACCGGCAGTGGCATGTTCACCGCATTGAATGCGGTTGGTGGATGTGACGTCACATTAAATGCAGTGGTTGCTTGTCTCCAAAGGGAATCTTCGATGATGGAGCAGTTGGATGAAGGCCCCTTGTGTAGCCGAGGGCTCCGTGTGACTGAGGCCCCCTGTGTAGCCGAAGGCCTTGTGTGGCCGAAGGCTTGGTTCAGCCGAAGGCTTCTCTGATGCCGAGGGCTTGATAATGCCGAAGGCTCATGTTTTTCGCCGTTTTTTCCCAGAAGCCTCTTACGCCAGAGAAGGCTATCCTGTGAGTTTTGGAGCCTTCGGCCAAGGAAGCCGAAGGCACCCCAGTGTGTATTCTGGGCTATTTTGAGGCTTGGGCAGCCGTATTTGGGCCTGATGGACTTGTGTAGGAGAAGTAGGAGTCTATGGGCCGGGGGTTCCCGGGCCATATACTCCATCAGGAGTCCCTCACTCCTTTTGCCGAAAGGTACTTGAGGGAAAAGGAGTAATTGTGTTGATTCTCCCGAAAGCTTCATCAGTCCGAAGAGGTGCCTTTGACTGATCACTTATCTTCTGCTGTTAGCCGAAGGCTTCCCTCAGTCCCCCACATGTCGAGGGTTTTCTGAGGGAAGCGTAAATAATATCTGTATGTGTTGTGACGAAGGCTGCTTCATCATTGTCAGTGACTTTGTGGAAAGTTTCTGACATTCTTCTTTGCCGAAGGGTGTAATGGTGTATGTACCCGAGGGCTACATGCGTTATTCGTAGGTTCCTTGCCTGTGGGAATTTTTGTTTTTGGTCACGTGTGATTCCTGAGGGGTGTATCCCAGTCCCCCACTCCTTTAGGTCGAAGGCTAGTTCGGGCTGAAGGAGTTATGATGTCTTGATGAGCTCCCGAGGGGGGGCAACAATGACAAGCCGAAGGCTTACACTGCTCAATTCTTGAAGGGTTCTGGTGAGAGTTGTTCACCGAAGACCATAATAGGTGGCAGCCGGAGACAGTCACTCGGTGGTGCGACATTGATAAGCCGAAGGCTTATACTACTGCTTGCTCGGGGCACTTGAGGAAAGGCAACATTGATAAACCGAAGGCTTATGCTGCTGCTTTCTCGAGGGCTGTAATAGATGATAGCCGGAGGTGACCACTTTTTGATGGCACTCGAGTGTTTGGGGAATATAGCCGTTGTAATAGAGCCGTTGGAAGAGGGGTCGACGTGGCTGGCTGGCGTTGGCTGACGGTGGGCGGGAGCCATCCATTGGCTGAACCGGCGGCCCATAATGATGGGCTTTCTAATCGAGGCCCACATATCGAGGCCCAGTTGCCTATAAATACCCCAAGGCAGAGCTCAGTTCTCCTTGTGCGTTCATAAACTCTAGCGAAGCTCTGTTGAATTTTCTAGAGAGAGAAACTCCAGCCTTCGACCAAACGTGATTCTTAAGGTCAGTCCTTCATCTGTTCTTTGTTTCCTTAGCACTTTTAGCTTAGTTGTCCTTAGGCTAAGTGTTAGAGCCATCTAGGGAGCCCTCTGTTTTAAACCCTTCGATCCTAGCCCTCAGACATGTCTTCGCAAAGCGATTCCCAAAACATTTCCAAGGAGCCCTCGGCGAAACGAGAGAGTTATTCAGATGTGGAGCCTTCAAGTGAAACCTCCTCGACCGGGAATGATTCGGCAGTGACATTGGAGGTCCAGAACAATCTCAGAGCTGAGGCCGAAGCTGAGGATTTCGAGCAGGTGGTGGATGATGAGGAGTTAGCTCTCGCTGTCCAAATAGCCGAAGAGGAGGAGGAGAAGGAACGAATGAAGGTGACCATCGCTGTTCCCCCCCTTCGTAATGACGCCGAGGCAGGGAGCTCCAGGCCCCTGGATCCGGAGCCTCTTAGCGTGGCCCCCGGCAATAAGAAGAAGAAGAAGGTGAAGGCAGCACTTAAGAAGAAGCAAGCCGCTGCCGACGCGGGGCGTCCGGTGGGTATCCTGGAGGGGCATTCATACCTGAACACTGCCGCTCTAGAAGTGAAAACCAAGGCCACACATGCTGAGTATATGGCGACGCAATTCTTTGCTGGGCCTTCGGCGCAAGTGGTGGAGCCGGGGCCAAATGATGTGCTCCTATACCCTCCCGAAGGCTACTTCGCGGTGCACATCCTGTCTGTGGAGTTGGGCCTTCGGTTCCCGCTCCACCCCTTCGTATTGGAGTATCTGCGCTTCGTCAAACTCGCCCCCTGCCAGATTACCCCGAACAGCCATTCTTATCTACCTGGATTCTTGTCGCTATGCCGGGAAAGGGGAGTTGAGGCCTCGCTAGATCAGTTTCTCCTTTCCTTCAACCTTTGCCTAGGGGGACATGCCAACAGCGAGGGCTTCGCTAATCTCCAACAGGTTCCGGAGTGGAGGCTGTTCTCCGAGGTTCCTTCCTCCCACAAAGGTTGGAAGGATAAGTATTGCTTCATTCGGATGGAGGAGAATCCCTTCCCTGCTCCCCTTCGTGACAATTTCAAAAGGCACCCGAAGGTTGGGAATGCCGCCCTCGATAAGAATGGGAAGAAGCTGGCGGAGAAGCCGGAGGGGTCTGACAAACTGAAGACCATCAAGGACGCCACCCTCCCGGAGGAGCTTCTCCTGCTGGGCTTCCGCCGCTTCCGCTTGGTGGGCGAGACTGGTGATGAGTATCCCCCGATAGACAGGGTCTATGAGAGTGCCGAAGGTGGGTGTCGAAGGCCCCTAGTTGTATACTTAGGATTTTTCTTTACTTGTTTTGCCATTGCCATCTAATATTCGTGCGCTTATTGCAGGTCCCGAGATGGATGCGAAGAACTTCGCCAAGTTGAAGAGGCAGTTGTCTAAAGAGCCAAAGGGGAAGAAACAAGTTGAGGGGCCTTCTCAGCAGAGGCCTGTTGAAGCTTTTTTCCAGAAGGAGGATGCTTCCAAGGTCCAGGGGACCCAAGGGCCCCTCCAAGCTGTTACCGAGGGCGCTGTTGCCCTAGGGGCTGATGCCACCAAGAGGAAGGCGTCGGGTAGAGGCGGTGAGGCCCTCAGCAAGAAACCCAAGAGAGCCGGCGGCGCAAAAGATGTTCCCCTAATCATCTCCGAAGGCCACAGTTCCTCGGGAACTCCCCTTGTGGTGGTGACTGCTGCTGCCCCCCTTCTCGGGTCAGATAGAAGACGGCCCATGGCCCCGAGAGAATGTCCAGTTCTCCATCAGGAAGGGGACCGCCATTATGCATGGCACCCTGGATCCGAAGGAGTTCTTGAATGGGGCCACTCCTCCCCTGGACAGATCGACCCTCGGTCGATACGATGATGCGGCCCTTGACTCCAAGTTCCTCCAGGTCTCGGTGACTGTAAGTATCATTGATCCCTCCTTCTGCAGTTAATTTGTCCTTATCCTTTATTTTTGATGTGCCGTGGTTTTGACCCCTCGCTCCTTCCTTGGGTGTTTGCAGGCCATCGTGGCTCTCGGAGAACATGTCCGAAGGGCGGAGCAGTTGCGCCTTCAGAAGGCGGAGTCGGACGAAGCTTTGAGGAAGCTCGTCGTGACCAA